TCAAAGGAATGGGAGTTGCTTGTAGGTTGGCATGGGCTTGAAGACGCAGAAGATTCATGAGAATCAATGGGCGGCATCGTGAAGGCAGTTCCAGAGATTGTGAAGGCATTCGTGGAGACGTGTGATAACGCGGGGCTCATCCGGCATTACAATGAAGAGTTTGAGCATGAAGCTGTGTAGTCAAGTCTTGAGGGAAGTGTGGACGGATGTCCAGGTATCAGACTTGCCAACACCCTACAGTGGGTAACCGGTTCGTGGAAGCGGTCCACAAGAACCGCCGGTTGCGAAGAGTCACGTTCCGTAGCCCACATAGGGAGAGAGAGCTAATGAAACACGACTGCATTTGCATTGAACAGCACAAGAGACTACAGACTGTCATTACGGATGAGTTCCAGATACTGTAAAGAGGTTTCATAAAGGTTTTTGTTTCGCTTGCAACGCAGACATTTATTGATGCTACCATCTTTTGCCACGGCATGAGCATGTATAAGAACCATTGGTGCAGAAGTTGCGAGCTTATCTATCATCACTCTACATCTCGCATGGATAGTTGTAGGAATCATTGACCAGGAGAATTTCATTATCATCATATATAACAAGCGAATGATGGAAGAGCAAACAGGGCAAATAACGTCTCAGGCGGGTTGTTTCAGATCAACACAAACTGATTAAATATTGCAATCATTTCCTGTGGGCCCATGCTCTCTAAACATTGAAACAGTCTGTGCAGCAGTAATGATGTGCTATTACTCACCTGCATAGCTTAAATTTTCACTTCGTAAACTCGTCCACGATCAGGGCTAGCTCTTTTCCAAGTTTGCGAGCAGAGGTTTCTAGAGGGCAAGTATTGATTGAGCTGTCGACTCAAGGTACATTTTTTGCATTACATTCTTAATTTTGTGGTCGTAGCCGACGTTTCGTAATAAGTTTTCAAGAAACGGAACGACATCGCCGTTACTGAAACTACTTTTTCACCATCACGCACAAACGTTTACATCTTCTCTATGCAGCAACTGCTCTACACCATAAAAAAAAATTATTTTTTTTTGCTGGCTTACAGGAATCTATCTGATCTTGGCACACATGTCGGTGCTTAGATCTTCGAATCCTGAGCATTACGCCAAATGTAATTCTTACTTAGTTCAACTTAGCATTGCTAAATGCTCCCATTTTGGATATGAATCACTTTCGGCCGCACATCTCCCGACTGAAGCGGCAATCTGGTCGTGCTGTACCATATATCGTAGTATGTTCTATCAGGTCATTCTCGAGATGACGCATTGCAGCATGGATACTGCCACCAGCATTTCTAACAGTGTAGCGATCCCGGTCATTGTCGTCACATGAGTAAACGGCGAGATTTGAATCAAGAAAGACTTTTGGTGCTTGAAAAGCACGTCAACGAATACGACCTAGAGCTACGACTCATTTGTAGCCTGTCGTCATTTTTAAATCAGATAAAAAAATGACATTGTCTATCGCAGCCAATTTATTAAAAGATGCGACAAAAATTGATGTCAGACAATGCTTTATGATACAGCACTTTGCACTCAAGCAACGTGCAGCCAGGCATGGTATTTGTTGCCGCAAATAAAGCAAGTATGACGTATTAGCAGTTTCATCTCGAGTACGTACGTTTGGCAAAACCATGTTGTTCGGGTTTGTCACGATCGATCATTTTCTAATTTGAGCAACGATCCAATTTCAGGTTTCAGTGCATCCATGAGCGACCCAATTCCCACGCTAAGAGAACTTTTCATCGACGGCAAGTGGGTGGCACCCGTTAACAAAAAGTACATCGACTCAGTTAACCCATTTAATGAGGAAGTGATTCAACAGGTTGCCGTGGCCTCGGCCGCTGATGTTGATCTGGCCGTGCAGGCTGCGAAGCGTGCGTTTGAGACCTGGAGCTCTACCACCGGTGCCGAGCGTGCAATATACCTTCGCAAAATGGGTGATCTGGTGGCCGAACGCATTGAAGCACTAAGCCGCCTTGAGACATTGGACAATGGAAAGCCACTCGCTGAGTCTGTGTGGGACATGGAAGACGTCTCTGGTTGCTTCGCCTACTATGCCAAGGCCGCCGAGGCCCTAGATGCTCGTCAAGACCAAAAAGTCGACCTGCCAATGGAGAATTTTCTAGGCGCATTGCGCTACGAGCCCGTCGGTGTGGTTGGCGCAATCATTCCTTGGAACTATCCAGCCTTGATGGCGTTATGGAAGCTAGCACCGGCCCTTGCTGCTGGCTGCACGGTGATTCTAAAGCCTTCCGAAAATACACCGTTAAGTGCATTGCAATTGGCGCAGGTAGCAGCTGATGTAAATTTGCCCGCTGGCGTCTTGAATGTGATCAATGGCCTGGGAGCTGAGGCAGGAGGACCACTGGTCTCGCACCCCGATGTCCATAAGGTAGCCTTTACAGGAAGTGTGTCCACCGGACGCAACATCATGACCGAGGCCGCGAAGGACATCAAAAGAGTTTCATTGGAATTGGGTGGCAAATCTCCTGCAATCGTTTTTGACAAAGTCAACATTGAACGGACAGTTGAGTGGGTCATGTTTGGCTGCTTTTGGACCAACGGTCAGATCTGTAGCGCGACATCACGGTTGCTAGTTCACGAAAATTTTGCTGATACGTTTGTAAGCTTGCTTGTGAAAGAAACTCAAAAACTTGTGTTGGGAGATCCGCTAGAGAGTACAGTGCAGATGGGTCCGCTTGTATCGAAAGACCAGCAGGAAAAAGTGTTGGGGTATATTCAGACGGCAAGAGATGAGGGTGCAAAAGTGACTCAAGGAACAATACCAAGCAGCGGTAAAGGGTGCTTTGTACCTCCTACGATCATCACTAATGTCACTAAGAACATGCGCGTATGGAAAGAAGAGATATTTGGTCCTGTCTTGTCGGTGATGACGTTTAAAACAGAGGAGGAGGCCATTGCTTTATCCAATGATTCGGAATTTGGTCTAGCGGCTGCGGTGTTCACGTCGGACAGCGCGCAACTTAGGCGCGTCACGAAGGCTTTACACGCTGGAATCGTTTGGAACAACTGCTCACAACCGTGCTTTACGGAGTTGCCATGGGGAGGCGTAAAAAAAAGCGGCATTGGTCGCGAGCTTGGACCTTTTGGACTGGATGCATATCTCGAGCCTAAGCAGATCTGTACATATGTTGCTGATAAGCCTTTAGGGTGGTATTTAAAGAAATAGGTGATGTCTGCGTAAACCAGCATTGTTAAAATTCCACATAAATTCGACGATTATATCACATATTATGTCACGTCGGATTTCTGAAAATTACAGGATAATCGGACATAGCCAACAAGAAAGACGCCTTTAAGCATCCGGACGTCTTAATCGCTAGGTTTGACACTTGACGTTGGCTATCTCGGTGTAACTGTTATTTAGAATTGTACGAAAATAGAAGTATCTCTATCTCGCATTTTAATTGCTGCTCATAAATAACCGATATTTCGGTACTTTAAAGTTTAATGTAAAATTTATACAGTTGTACCAAATGGCTAAGGGCAAAATATTGGACATATATTGAAGGTGCTCCAAAACTGCAAATGTTTCACTTGCTATATTGGCAAAAGTCTTATCACGTCCTTGCTCGGTCACGGTACCCTTTAGCATGCTTGGCTATGAAGAAATTGAAACTCTCGCAGATATGCTTTATTACTGCTGTGTCTGAGATGATCTTGCAATTTGCATCTTTCGACTGAAGTCATTGGGTAAAGTGTATTCTGTAGATTGATAAAGAGATCGACCAAGCGCAAAAAAAGTTGCATATAGTATTTGCTTTGGTAAAAAGATTGCATTGATTAGCCTCCTGTATACAATTATCAACGTAGGATTATACATAAGGCGGCAACATTTGGTGGGAAACAAAACTTGTTGCAATCTCATCTACGACCTCGTTTGCTGTAGCTCGGCAAGACGATCATTCAGCATAGCTAAGGTCGCGTGACAACTCACATGTGCGACAATTACTAAAGCCATTTCTGGCGCAGATTAATTACGAAAGGCTCGGCTTGAGGCACATTTTCTGGCTTGAAATCAGCAATCACATCGATCTTCTCGCGAATCTCAGGCGTGATCCTGTCCACAAACTCCATGCATTTCAAATTTTCATCC